TTACGCTAGCTTATATTCGTCTTCGAACTGCAAAGGATGCCAGATAAAATGCCCTTCAGCCATTTACCAGACGTGACTACCTGTATCACAGTCCGACATTCCGACATTCCGTGTTCGATATCAAACGGCTAATACAGAATAGTCTGCACATCTTCGCGCTGTCGGATTATTGATGGTCACCTTGCAAGCAGCTGCCGTAGCAGAGCCCTGGCGCAGTCCTTATGACCGGCAGCCACAGCCGCGTGCAGTGGTGACCGCCCGCGATCGTCGCATGTGTCGATGTCGGCCTGGGGACGAGGGTCAAGGTCATTGTCGTAGGCGCACATCAAATCCCCAGCCGAGGAGCACACGGCAATCCACGCTACCAAAGGCCAAGGTCACTGTCATCGGCGCACATCAAATCCCCAGCCGAGGAGCACACGGCAATCCACGCTACCAAAGGTCAAGGTCACTGTCATCGGCGCACATCAAATCCCCAGCCGAGGAGCACACGGCAATCCACGCTGTCAAGTCGTACAAAACCACAGATTAAGTTTTCGGCGAAATTACCGGAGCCTGCGCCGTCTAAACACCTGCCAAGACGCCAGCAACGGCAGGATTTAGCCAGTGGCCGCGGCGGCGGTCGCTTTATGCGCGACGTATACACCACGTGCCTGCGTTGGCGGACGTGGACACAATCTCAGTGTAACAGACGGCTGGCAGCCCGCCGCCGCCCCTGCTCTGGCTCGTAACGGCCGCCCCGTCTTCGACGCGGACAGCGGCCGCCCATCCCTCACAGAGCAGCCGCGAGCGCCGCGGCGAGCACGCGCTGAGGACGGCCGGCTCCGGAGGCCAGGACACGTGGCGCCGGCGGAGGAGGGGGGCGCGGATCTGACGAGACCGGGGCCGGGGCGGAGGGGGAGGCGCGGATCTGACGGGACCGGAGCCGGGCGGAGGAGGAGCCGCGGATCTGACGGGACAGGAGCCGGGCGGAGGAGGGGGCGCGGACCTGACGGGACCGGGGTCGGGCGGAGGAGGAGGCGCGGATCTGACGGGACCGGAGCCTGGCGGAGGAGGAGGCGTGGATCTGACGGGACCGGAGCCGGGCGGAGGAGGAGCCGCGGATCTGACGGGACCGGAGCCGGGCGGAGGAGGAGCCGCGGACCTGACGGGACCGGAGTCGGGCGGAGGAGGAGCCGCGGCCTGACGGGACCGGAGCCGGGCGGAGGAGGAGCCGCGGACCTGACGGGATCGGAGCGGCGGAGGAGGCGCGGATCTGACGGGACCGGAGCCGGGCGGAGGAGGAGGCGCGGATCTGACGGGACCGGAGCCGGGCGGAGGAGGAGGCGCGGATCTGACGGGACCGGAGTCGGGCGGAGGAGGAGCCGCGGCCTGACGGGACCGGAGCCGGGCGGAGGAGGGGGCGCGGACCTGACGGGACCGGAGTCGGGCGGAGGAGGGGGCGCGGATCTGACGGGACCGGAGCCGGCGTAGGAGGAGGCGCGGATCTGACGGGAACCGGAGCCGGGCGGAGAAGGAGGCGCGGATCTGACGGGACCGGGCGGGCGAGGAGGAGGCGCGGATCTGACGGGACCGGAGCCGGGCGAAGGAGGAGCCGCGGCCTGACGGGACCGGAGCCGGGCGCCGCTGAGCCGAGTCGACCGAGCCGAGCCGAGCCGAGCCGCCTCGTGCGTGCCCCGCGGACGGTCATCCATCGCCGATGCGTACCGCTCGGACGGTGCGCCCGGCAACATTCACCGGAAATAATCAGCCGCCCGTCGACCGACGTGGTTGATGGTCTCACCTTGTCAAAATGTGCGGAAAACGGTACCTTTCGTACTGTGTCTTTACAATCACCATCACGGGCAAGGCAGATGAGGAGATACCATCGCAATGGCAGCCTTGTGGTCCACGTTGGCATTTCGCTTTCTCCAAGAGCATCGAGTCGACACGGTGTTACGTATTGCGCGAGCACGCTCATATACATGCTATGCAGTACATTATTGAGTGACATAGGAGGGAGGGCAGAGAATCGGTTAGTAGGACAGTTTCCAACAGGAGGCCCCGCTTCTATTCCGGCTGACACCGCAGTCGGTGGGCACCACCAAGACCGCTGTAAATCACCGTCACTCAATAACAAGGGATTGTGGCAACGATTTGCAACCGCGACTTCTGAAAAGTGGTGACTAAAGCCGCCCGCGGTACCATTTTCCCTAAACCGAAATATTGAAAATGTATCCAGCTTGTGGACGTGCATTTCAACCGCAAAATCTAGGTCGTGTTTTGTAAAACTTAGTACAGAGACAAAACGCCGACCGTTCCGGCACAAGTTTTCCCCTGGGCAAATGCTTGAAAACGCCGGCGCGCTCAGACACTAGCCCATGTGTACGTTACAGGATCGTGCATATCCCTTGACCACAAATAATCTCAAAGATTACGTCCTGTCAAATAACTAGGTTCTCTGGGAGTGCCAGTAACAAAATTAGTATATGATATTCTTAGAAGCCCACATCTGTCCGTATTCAATGATATATACTATTTTGTAAGCACGTCTACAAATTAGGAGATGAGAATCAATGCGCTAACCGTGCGTCTATTTCCAAGCTCCCAAGCTCTCCTCAAACTTTCGAAAAAGTTACTTTGTGCACTCATGGTGCATAACATAGCACCCGATGGACGATAAAGGTGAGCACCAAGCTAGTTGTCTTCAGAAAATTATCGCCTGCATGTCAGCTTGGCCATGCCGTACGGAA